GAGAATAGTCTAAAGATCTATAGATGAAAAAAAACGCTTCACCACGAAAGCGCAATCTAAATCGTACGCTTAACTTATATATTTATGGTATTTCTATTATTCTATATATACTACGAGAAGTACGATAAAGTTAAAAACGTTAAATACAGGCTGCGACCGCAAAAGTGAACATCAGTAATAGATGGAAAATTGTTTTAAAAACTTTGACAAATTTTGAGTCGAGTTTTTATCAATATAAGGAATAGAAAAGAGTGAATAAATTCCGTAATAAGATAAAGTATTAATTTTTAAATCAAATAAAAAGTGGAAAAGTTAAGTTTATCATTTTATGTCTCTTCATCAATATTTGGTTCTAGATATTTAAACTAGATCATGATATTCAAAGACTCATATCACGAACAGATAATCGTCTCTGCCATTCCTTATCGAATACATCACTACTATTGATTCTCACTTTTCCAGCCACACTGTATTATATAAATATATACTTAAAAAAATGTCCTTATATGTTCACCGTCGTACAATCATCCTGGGTGTCTGCTGAAAATGCATTTTCGATATTACTGTATTCTACTGCGTGTAAAGGTGAAAGAGAGATCTTATTCTTTATAAGATACAAGGTCTTGTTATACGTAAGAAGCTCAATTTTTCGAAGTCTACGTCAGATTATATTTATAAAATGAAAACCTGACTTATTTGTTTATACTGGAAACTAAACTCTTCAGAGAAGAGGAACCGATAGTATCGATATCAGTCATTTCAGATCCCACGCGGGTTGTTAATTTTTTATGTGAATAAAAACATCCTTACAATTCTCTTCAATCAACAGACACACCTATTGATGGACCTGAATTTGCCTTGCATTATATGGTTATAACCAAGAAGAGCCTCACTTAATATCTTAATTAACAAGAGATGTAAAAATGTAAAAGGTTACATTCGTCCTGCCAATATCGGATAGGGAATTTACTTTACTTGTGATTTTAAAGTAAGGTGAATGGAATGTTTTCCTGTAACAGATTCGAGGAGTTTTCGAGGATAAGTCTCCCGTCTCCCTGTTCATCGTAAAAAGTAACTAATGTATTCTAAATGTGACGTGTAATCAATATTTTTCTTGTAATGTACTCTCGATCCAGTCATATAATTTAATTAGTAAAATAAAGAGTAACTTATTTACATCAGAAGCCCGATGTATTTTATCTAACGCCGGAAATTCATCTGCTTATTTGCTATTTTCGATGTAAGTGTTCGGTACAGATTCTGCAATTATTGCAACATCTAAATCTAAATCAAAGTACATTTTATTTTTTATTAAAAAAAATACCTTTTATTTTTCTTTATTTAATATCACATTCAGTCAGATACTCTATTACAATATCAGAAATAAATTTGTTTATGTTTTACCTATACATATTACATTGTGTGACCAGAATGTTAAAATATATTGACTGGTAAATTTATAATTTCAGGTAATATGTTTATCTCGTCAAACACATATATAAAGCAAAATTGTAAAGATAAATATAATTATTGTAAACAAGGAAAATAGTATAATTTCTAAAATATTAAGTAGTGATGGATAATCGAAATATTTGTTAATTAACTGCAAAATAATTAAGATTTAGATTGAATAAATCTTATAAAAATTAAAGAAAGGGAAATGCAACTTATAAATTTGTATACAATATCGTAATTTGTATACAATATCGTGACATTAGTCATGTACTCACTTTTAAATTAACTAAAGGGTTTATGTTCTATGGCAATTGTATTATTAGAATTTTAATTTCATATTTTTGACTGTGTTATCTATTTCTCCGATATCGACAAAATTTTTTGAGCCTTTTTGTCGAACAGAAAGAGCTATACTCTTACTCTTCTCATGCTGCTGGGTTTTCAATAATACACAGCAACTTTTACCTATAAAAAAATTGATATTAAAAGATAGAATGCGCATCATTCAGATTAAATTATAGATATGGAAAAAAATTGCGTACTAATTAGCCCTCGTTCGTGGGCTGCAGCTAACTGGTTAACAACGCGCCTTTCTACTTCATACTTGATGGAACGAGCACCATAATGGACATCGTATCCATCCGCTAATACTGACAAGACATCTCTTTCCCACTTCAACTCGATCATATGTCTTTCTTTTGCACGTACAGCCCATGCTTCCAATTCTCGAGTAACTAATTTTATTAATTCCGACCGAGAGAATGGCAGGAAGTACACAATCTCATTTATTCTTCCTAGAAATTCGTCCCTTCGAAAATGCGCTTTCAATATTGGTCGTACCTATAAAGAGATTTTACACTGGATAAGATTTATCACGCTACTGTATATGATTTTAAAATATACCAAAAAATATATTTTTATTGTTTATACCACTTGATCTTTGAAATTACGAGTTATTTCAATACGTTCCGGCTCCTGATCTTCATCGGAAGTATTTTCAAATCTATGTTTTAACAGTCTATCAGATTCTGCTCTGAGTTGCAGTGCGTGCTCAGCAATCTCTTTGTTTGCTAAATTTGATGTCATTACGAAAATAGCTTTTTTGCATTCGATTGTTTTTCCTTTACCATCGGTTAATCTTCCCTGAAAAATGAAATAATGCTCTGTATAATCACAAAATACAAGGATAGTCGAATGATATAAGTGATGAATAAATACCTCATCAAAGAGTTGTAACAGTACAGTTAAGACATCGGGATGTGCTTTATCAACCTCATCGAATAATACAACAGCAGTGGGACACTTTCTTAAAAGTTTTGTCAATTGCCCACCATTATCGTGTCCTACATATCTAGATGAGAAATTTAGTTCTGTTAATATAACATTATTCAATTTTAGATATTTAAATGTAGAAATTCGAGAAATGCTGAAATTGAAATAATAGTAATAACGAGTAAGATTCATACCCTGGTGGTGCTCCAATTAATTTTGCAACCTCATGCTTCTCTTGGTATTCAGACATATCCAGTCGAATAAAATCGTTGGGTTTATTCTTGTGAATATAAGCTGCCAACCGCTTAGCTAATTCTGTCTTACCAATACCTGATGAACCCAGGAAAAGAAATACTAGTGGATGTTCTTCATCTATCCAACCATTTTCTTTCCTTCTGATAGCTAGTAATAATATTGAACAATAGTTTTATTACACATATGTTTGTAATTATTTCATAATAAATATAACAAAATTATCTTACTAGAAGCAACAATAGAAATTGCTCCTTCCTGTCCTACAATATGTTGCTTCAAACGTTGCTCAAGCGGAAATCTACGTCGTTCCTCTGCTTCCTAGATGAAACATTTCAATTTATATATTATTTTTCTTTTTATATAATCTCACATTTTACATGTATACAGATAAAATTATTAGATAATATGTACTTTTTCTTTCAATAATTCACCATATTTAGTAGAATACTCTAGAAGCATTTCCTTAATTTCTCCTTCTTTAGCATAATCAATCGGTCGATGTCCTCCTTCATTCTCTATTGTTGGATCTGCTCCTTTGTCCAACAATATCTTCACACATGCTTTTGAATCAATCAACACAGCATAATGTAATGCTGTGAAACCTTGAAAAGTAGCCCTGTTGTTTAGTTGATCAGAGAATTCTTCTTCTCTCTTCATAAGAACTAAGATTAAAATTAATAGCAATTACTTAATAATTTAATATTAAAAGTCTTAAACTATTATTTATAAACTATTGTAGCCTATAATATTGGAACTTTTATTTCAAAATATTTTCAGCTATTAGTAGATATCTTCATAACAATGGAATATCCTATTTATCTTATAAATAATACATTGTATTATTGATTATCTTAATATGTACCAATATTTATATTGGATATAAATAATACCTTCCATAAAATCTAGACCTTTTTGCATGGCAAGTCTATTTGTGCTAACAAAATCATCTCCTGCATTTATATCAGCACCACTATCCAACAGAATTTTTAGGATCTCAGCTTGTCCATTTACAGCAGCAACCTGTAACGCTGTCCAACCCAATGAGTGCCTGGCATTTACATTAATGCCATCTTTAATCATCTAAAATATGACATGATTATATGATATTGCTTTATTTCTATAATATCTTCATGTCATATAAAAAAATATGTGCATTTAGCACTACAACTGAGCACTCAGTAAACTTTTGAATCTGGTATATATTCAGATTTGACTAAGATATAAAAATATAAACCAATCAGACTCATGCTTACTGACGTAAGCTCACATGTAGTAAGTGTGATGTTTTGTAGTACTGAACATATCAAATGATATTAATATCCTTTATCTATCAAAATAATCAATAAGCAAACCATCAATTGTGCTAATTATAGTTCTAAGTTAATTTCATAAGTATCAATTACAAGGTACTTTAAATTATTTATGTCTTGGTATTACCTCATATAAAACTTACTTTTTTCAATTCCGAAACATCACCATACTGGGCAGCATGTAGAAATCTGTTCTCTGCAATGAATCATATGGTTATATTTATTCACATATATAGAGTACTTATATAATATATATAGAGTACTTAACATCTTGCATACAATACATAACAATCAATATACATACCTTTATGATGCAAAGATACTTTATAATCGCAAGATGCTACTGTAAGCCCAAAAGCACTCAAAAACAGTCGAAGGTATTTGAAATGTCTTTTATTAGATTTGCCATGTTTTTTATATTTTTCTTTTGCAATTGTCGCCACAGTTGGTGGACAATAAGAAAATATTTCATTCAACAAACCATGCAGCGGATAAGTTGATAGTGTACGCTGCGGCATACACATATGAACATAACCTATATAGTTTGGATGAAGCGTATTCTTGAATCCTCTACTTGTAAAACATAATTTTCTAGTAAGCGCGGCCGACGTTCTTACACTGCTAACTACCGAGTATAATTTCAAACTGCACAAACGTAACATTTTGCATAACGTTTGTGCGCGAGGTTATGTCACTGCACACGCCGATTGAGAGCTCTGAGCGATCACAAACGACCGCTGTAAACGTCAGTGCCAATCGATTTTTCCAAGCCACTATTAGATTCAATGATCAGATATTACGGATAGTTGCTATAACAACGCGCTTTATTTCCTGTCGGCTTATATTTACGTAAAAAACTGCCCCGACACAACATTCGATCGATGTTACTTACTGTTGCGAGTTGCGAACGAAAAGACGCTCTCTGCTCATAATTTTTCCCACATTGGCCGTTTAGAGTGATTGCATGACGAAAATTTCGTAAGAAAGTTTTAAAAGCTAGTTGGCATCATATAAAATCGTTTAGTTCTGATTCAAGTTATACATTTGCTTTTACAGACGAAACACGCAGATCGTACGTAGCCTTATATAGCAATACAATTTAAAAATTGTTGTAATTTGATAAGTTCGTTTTTCTCGTGTTACAAATGGACAAGATGTTCCATTTTCTGATTATTGCACGTTTCTATTCAATTCTATATGCTTCCAACAAAGTAAGATCTTTTCATCATTGAAATCCTTGCAACTTCTAATTTGACGCTCTCTCTCTCTTTCTCATTCCTTTTCTTATTGTAATATTTCTACAAAATACGATTAGTGTGGGAGTTTATAAAATGAAGATTAGCAGGAGGATAAAAAATTAAAACACCGTCTCGCGTCGGTCATCAATGAAGACGCAATTTTCGAGAACATTCTCGAAGCTCGATTTCACATCGGCCGCAATATTAGCCGCGTTCGGCATTGTAAATCGAAGAGGTCGGATTGCTTTTTTACCTCGAAAATGCACAGAAGTGAGAGAGATACGAGATCTCGTATCTTTTTCATTTCTATGCATCTTCGAGATGAAAGAGCAATCCGACATCTCCGATTTACAATACTGAACGCAGCTATTGAATGACACAGAGAGCTTTACTCGTTGGTTCAAATCCGAATTATTCCATGCAAGCATATTAATTTTGTCGTCTGTCAGATCGCAATCTGTTCGTCGAAACATGAATCGCGAATTGTTATGGCGCGCGATGTGGCCTACGGCGTGAATGCGGCAGAGCGATGGCGGGTCAACAATGTTCGATTTTTCGAGAAAACGCGCGCGTCCGGACGGCGATTCTGCGGAACCGACCAATCTCGCGGTTCCCAGGACGTTCCAGAAGTTTCCAGAACGTGCGGCGCGCCAATCGCCATAACGGCCAGCGCTGCCATGATTGGTCAGTTTCGAAGCGACCTCAGCAGAAGGCAGTCCTTGCGCTGACGAAATCATTTCTTTCGGGGCATCGCGTGCGAGCGTATCATCGGTGGCTCTCCCTCGTGATTGCGAGTCGTGGCGACATTAATCGCATCGTTTCGACGTAATCGCTGTTCCCTCGGCGTGCCGCTCCGGTACCGCGTAGAGTTCACGTCCAAGTGAGAGGGACAGACACCTCTCTCGTACGAGAACGGCTAGAAATCCGACCCAGTGTCACAGAGGAAGTGTCGATTCGGCCTCAACACACCAGCATGGCCGCGATGTCTGTGATCGGAATCGACTTCGGGAACGACAATTGCTATGTGGCCGTAGCACGCGCTGGTGGCATTGAAACTGTAACGAATGACTATAGCCTTCGCAATACACCGTAAGTTGCAATCCTTCACGCCGAGATCTCGTCAAGCGCGATGCCCGCGGATGCTCGCTCGTATTGAATACCGGCAGACCTGCGACCTTCGCCTCGCGATTTATATGTCCCGTAGTCACATCGTGAATCACCTCCAACCTGAATTTGGCCAATTTTTTTTCTCCTTTCCGCCAATGCCTTTGGCTGTGTGTGCGTATATATATATATATATATACATATATATATGTATGTATATATATATATACATATATGTCGGCGTATAATCCAGGAAGCATCGTCATCGTTAATGATTGTTACGCCGGTTCGATGCGATCCGGCCTTAATCTTGCGTTTCTTTCGCGTTTTCCGTTCTCTAAAACTTCGGCCGCGAATAAATTTTCTTCATTATTCCGGATAAAAAATATATACACTTCACTTTCGCGCTACCGCTGTGCGCGATTGTCACGAACTGACAAAGATCATTTTCACGTGTCATCCGAATTTCAAGACAAAGTTACTCCGCGTGTTTTTCATGTAATTTTATCAATGAAATATAACAAAATAAAGAATAATGGACGTTCGCGTGCGAATACGCGCATGGATTATCGTGCTCTCAAGCACGTCGGTCACATTGCCATTTACAGGCATCTCATTGCCAATACCACCGTCGCACGTGTGTTCACATATTTTCAGAGTATCCCTAAAAAGTCCTGCTCCGCTCGCGCGCGTTTCTGCCTGCTCCTTTGCTTCCTTTTTGGAAGCGCGCTTATATTTTTATCCTCCGCAGCTGTTGCGACCGACGAAATTTTTTTTTGCACTAATAATTAAATTTTCAACAATTTACGTGAATATTTTTCAAACTACATGAACATTTCGTAGAAATATACGAATAATAACAAAATATTTATACAAATATTTCAGTCTCTTGTCATTTATTTCCGAACAATAATCTCTAATCTTATCTCTTTCTCTTTACACATATACACATATATTATACATACATATTTTTTATATATTTAGATTATCTTTATACATAACAATTTATATAGTGTAATCAGAATGATAACAATTGTTTCTCTTAATTTGTACATTTGTTAAGTTAAATAGATATAGTGTATCACCCTATAATAAAACAATGTATATATTGAATTAGATAAGCAAATATAGTACATCTTTTATTTATATAAATATAGATTAGGTAAATGAAATCTAGGTCTAAAAGTATATATATATGCAAGTATACTGAAATAACTATCATAAATGTCAAACAAATATAAAGTAAATAACGCATAAATTAGATCATGTCATTTGATAAATTATGAAAACTTGTGTCACTAAGAGAAATGAACTGTCTCTATATATGTGTAAAACGATTCTCAGGTCATGTGTTGCATTCAGTGGGAAAAACCGAATTCTTGGTGTGGCAGCCAAAAACCAGATGGTGACAAATATGAAAAACACCATTTATAATTTTAAAAGGTTACTAGGTAGGAAATATAATGACCCACAAGTTCAATGTGAGCGACAGACTCTACCCTTTAAAATGACTCAACAAACTGATGGAAGTATCGGCATACATGTAAGTGTTATGTTAAGCAGAAGAAAAGATGATTTTGTAAATTATTCTTGTGTTTTTTGATGAGAAAATTTGTATGTTATGTATTTATTATAGCAGAGAATGTAAAAGTGTAATTATTTGCTACGTAAGAGTTTTCACTTGTGTTTTCATGAGTGTGATCTATCTGTATATGTATAAAAAAAAATTAATGACTGTTATTCTTCAATTTTCTCTCAATAAACATTTGTTTAATATTTCAATCGTGATTTCTCTCGCATAATTCAATGACTAAGAATCGAAAGTAATTTAGGCACTTTGCCAGGACCTTTTCATTTCTGGAGACTTCTGTCTTATTTATATCTTTTTAGAATGCTACAACACACTGAGGAGATTTATTAATGTTACTTGCACCAAGTAGAATCAAATGTGCATTATTGAAAAGTATATACACAATGATAAACCGTTTTGTGGTTCCCCGGATTCTCTATAGTGTCGACAACTCCTCGTTCGAACGTTTATTTCTATTCTAGGTACAATATCTGGGAGAAGAACATGTCTTTTCACCAGAACAAATTACAGCTATGCTTTTCACAAAACTGAAAGATGTTTCCGAAACAGCGCTGCAAACTGCTGTCAACGATTGTGTCATATCAGTTCCTTCATACTTCACTCAAGCTGAGCGTCAGGCCCTACTTGATGCTGCTAAAATTGCGGGCCTCAATATTCTAAGATTATTTAACGAGACCACCGCCACTGCACTTTGTTATGGTATTTATAAGCAGGATTTGCCGGGAACAGATGCAGCTCCAAGGAACATCGTTTTTGTGGATTGCGGCCAAGCCGGCCTGCAAGTGAGCATTTGTGCCTTTCATAAAGGCAAACTTAAGGTCGGTATTACTTAATTTTCCATTAATACGCAAAAATTAGCATCGTGTGCTTTATCCGCAAACGCTTAATTCTGTTGTCCTTATTATTAAAGATGTTGTCAAGCGCTGCCGATAGTCAATTGGGCGGCAGAAACATTGACAATATTTTGGCGGAACACTTCTGCCAAGTGTTCAAGAAGCGATACAATATTGATGTACACACCAATCCTCGGGCATACTTAAGATTGCTCGCGGAAGTTGAAAAATTGAAGAAACAGATGTCAGTTAATTCGACGACTCTGCCTCTGAATATCGAGTGCTTTATGGATGAGAAAGATGTGCACGCCGAGATAAAGCGCACTGAGATGGAGGATTTGTGCAGTCATCTGATTAAACGCGTCGAGGCGACTTTCGTCCAATGCTTGGTTGATTCAAGTAAGCTCGCGAGCGAATCCGCATCACGGAGATATATTTGGCCATTTTGTCTTTATGTGCTAACTATGAATTACATGTGACTACTTTTCAGAATTGAAACTCGAGGAGATTCATGCAGTCGAGTTGGCAGGGGGATCAAGCCGGGTTCCTGCTATCAAACGTTTAGTAGAAGAAATTTTCGGTCGACCGGTATCGACTACCTTGAATCAGGACGAATCGGTTGCTCGTGGTTGTGCGTTGCAGTGCGCTATGCTCAGTCCTGCCGTGCGTGTCCGTGAATTTTCAGTTACAGATATACAGCCATATTCCTTAAAATTGACATGGGACGCTACTCAGGGTGAAGAAGGGTATGCGCTTCTCCTTTGTCATTTGTCACTGACATTGGTTTTTTTTTTGTTGTTCTCCTTTACTTAATGTTCTCCTTTACTTAAAATTTCAGAGAGATGGAAGTATTTGGACATAATCATGCTGTACCATTCTCGAAGATGCTGACGTTCTACCGTTCGAATCCGTTTGTGCTTACTGCCAGTTACAGTTTGCCGCCTCCTTATTATCCTCAGACACGTATCGGTACAGCGAATTTATTTTTATTAATTTTATCTTAAGATAATTCCCCTTTTGAATATCTTTTTTTAAAAGATAAAAGTGATATCAATCTTTATAAAATAAACACACATGTTTAATTTGTTCTACATTCTGTATTCGTGCTTTGTGTAGGAACATTCATGATAAAGAATATAAAAGCTACACCGGAGGGCGAGTCAGCGAAAGTTAAAGTGAAAGTGAGGGTGAATCTGAACGGCATTTTAACTATCTCGTCGGCGTCGCTCATCGAGAAACGTGAGTCGACGCAGCAAGAAAAAGAGGAAGAGGATGCCCAGCAACAGCAGCAACAGGATAACATGGACATTGATCAGCAACAGGAGAAAAAGGACAAACTCGATCAAGAAGCGCAGGCGAATGAACCACCAGCAACAGAGGTTTGTAGTTCACGTTATTATCACTTAATTGTATATTCTTGATTGTGGCTCTTGTATGATTAGAGTGACATTACATGGAACACCGATTTTAATTGAGAAATATCATGCATCGATTATATGAAATATGTCGTATCACAAATTCTTTACTGTGGTGCAACATCCTATGTGTATTGGCAGCGTTCAGGTGCATGATTGTAAGTTTATTGTGGTTTAGGTGAGCATGGATAAAACACGACGGAACTCAGATGCTGATGACGGTGGAAGAGGCCCTAGGGGTTCTGCCCCTTCCTACTCCTCCAGGATTCTCTCTTGGTTCAGCTCGGTATGGGGCATACTATCTTTACTTGGACCCATACGCATATGTTGAGACTGAGGCATATTCTGCGCTAAATTTTAAAGCTTAATCATTGCATTGTTATCTTACGACAGTTGTCGAAAACATCCCTTCACGTTTAGGGTTCATCATGATTTAGATAGTCTCTCCCTTCTGTCACGCTAAGCTTTGTCGTTCACCTTGAAGCGGAAATCAATCTGACGCAATCCTCATGGCAACAATAAGTGCACAAATAATCACAACCGCCTTATATAACGCAAATGACACACTCATCGTCGTCAGTTCAGTACACTAAACGCATCTTTACATTTTATTTCTAGCGTTTTAACTTGATCTCTTATGCTCTTTTGTTGAGCTTCCTTTTCTAGGATCGTTTTTAGTGACATTTGTTTAACAAAATGGTATTGCTTTTGATATTCATTCATTCATTCATTCATTCATTCATTCATTCATTTATTCATTCATTCATTTTCCTTCGTTCTCTTCCTTATAACGCCAATTCGTAGTATGCAATCCTTTCACATTTTAAAACTTACAAACTACATTGTCATCATCTACTTATGTACATTAATTTTTTTCTTTTTAGGATACGAGTAGATAGTGCAAGCTATTTTACTATGAAGTATTAGAAGCCTGTAGAGTGTTGTAATTATCGGTTCTATTTATCGGAATGCATGACGTTTGGCTAGACGTAGAGTCTTAAACCCTGTGTCGATTTCTTCTGCAAACTCGGCTATCCAGCGGCATTATAAAAATCTAGATAAAGATCGGCTTGCTTCCTTATGAGACATAATGTGATTTTGCAGTGTGTAATAGATCCGTATGATGGTTTGTGATATCATTTAATTCCGTAACAATCTTTTTGCTATATAAATGCATATGGGTCCAAGAACAGCTGTGTCACGCCGTACTGCCTGTCTTTGCTCTGCTATTCTACTTACTGAGTCGCAGAAGGAAAAGAGACAGTGATGTCATAGAAGGATAGTGTTTTTTATCGAATAGCATAAATGAATATTCCTAAGCTGTAAAGACAGGCATGCTGAACAGTTTTCTATTCGTATAGTACATTATACTTGTGTTATATAAGTGCAAGTATAGATTGTAAATTTAATTTATAACATTTGTTATTTTGTCTATTACGTAATATAACGCAATATGAATGGAAAACTGTACACACAAAAGTGTATACCCCATTATCTTTGCCTCATCTTTGTCATCACCTGAAGAATTCCAGTTTAAATTTTTTTTATCTTTATACAAATTTGGTTTAATCTATTTCTTGCATTTAAAGAGGAAGAGGTATTGTAAAATATCGGTGTTACAAAATTGTTAGCGACAAAGGGAGCGTTTCAAGAAAGTATTATGAGAAGGTAAGTGCTTGTGTGAGATAACAAGTCCCTTTCTATAGGAAGTATATTCCACAATGTAGGAAGCCGATGAAATGTGCAGTAACGGTGTTCGTTACTGAATATTGAAAATTAACTGATGATGTGACAGATGATATAAATAATAAACTTTCTTGTAAACGATCTTTTTCTATTGTAGGCTTGTACAAAATGCAGTGTTAGGAAATATGTTGGTTCATATATTTCATAAAATTTTTTTTGTTTCAGGGTGACGATAAGGGTGAAGAGAAAGGCAAGAAAAAGATTCCCGTTCGTACGGTCGAGTTACCCATCGAAGCTAACGTTTGCGGACTTTCTCTGCGAGATCTCGATGCCGCGATGGAAAAAGAGGTAACGTAATCATTCAATGTGCGCAGCTTGAATACGCGGTTTTACCATCAATTGTAGTGATAAGGAAAATTGTTGATAAGGAAAACTTATCAAAGTATATTATCATTGGCCTGGTTTTACATCGTAAAAACGTTAGTACGCATATTAAATTTGATGCGCACTAATGCTTTAACCCTTTGGGGACGAGTGTCGGCATATAGCCGCCCAAGCCGTTTTTTTACCGTTCCGGATGCGTGTCGGCATATAGCTGCCCAAATTAGTTCGTAGCTGCAAGGCTCGCGACGTCTGTCGTTCTGAGCGATAAGATACGCATAGGTATAGTAAAAGAGTCACGTTTTCATTCAAAGACATTAGGGGCCATTAGCGATGAAGTCATCTTCCTTATAGCCCGTCGAGCGGCTCCGTCCCCAAAGGGTTAATGCGGGTGTGTTTACATCGAACGTACTAAAGGAAGAATATAATACGAATTTAATTCATGTCGTTTACCTCCTAGTGGTGGTACTTGGAATTGCAATTTGCTTAAAATAGCTTCGACCGACAGGAGGAATGCATAATTCTAAAAATGTGTTCGTTTCTTCTTCTCTCCAATTTATCCCCTTTTTTTACAAGACATTTTACTATAATATAATTTGAGAAAAACTACGCTTATCGATAACACCGGTTTTAATTAGATTAGGTTCTTTCCAACATTCGTTTCATACGTTTACATCGTCATTTGTGTCATTTGATACGCATATTAGTTTAGTACGATACTCCTACTTGGTACCAAATTGATCCGTTTATCATGCATATTAAATATTTAGTATGAATTTGATATGAATATAGTATCTGATACGCGTATCAAGTGCACGATGTAAACCAGACCATCATGTAACTTTATACATTTTACGAACAGGGCAAAATGATCGCTGAAGACAGGCAGGAAAAAGAGCGAGTTGACGTACGTAATGCTTTGGAAGAATACGTTTACGACTTACGTTCCAAATTGTCTGAAGAAGATCAGTTAGCTACATTTATCACGGAAGCCGACAAGGAGGCTCTTTGTCGTATATTAGATGATACTGAAATTTGGCTCTATGAGGAAGGAGAGGATTGTCAGCGACAGGTCTACTCCGAGCGATTGATGCGCTTGAAGGTATGTCGTTTGATGAGCTGCTGATAATTCAATAGTTTAAGTACTGAACGTTTTTCCTCTCGCTATTATACGCTGTAATTTTTAAGCGCGTCTTTTCCTTTTTATTAGTCTCAAGGTGAGCCAATAAAGGAAAGGAGATTAGAGTTTGAAGGACGATCTCAAGCGTTAGAGGAACTTGGGGGAGCATTACAGTTGGCTAAGAAAAGTCTCGATCACATCAAAGCATCAAATCCGAGAGATGACAAATATTCTCACTTAACGGAGGAAGAAGTGAAGAAAGTTGAGAAGGCAGTGCATGAGAAGTGGACGTGGTTAGAAGAGAAGCGTATTCTACTTGCGAGTACATTACGCACGCAACAACCACCGGTCACCGTAGCACAGATTCGCGCCGAGAAACAGGTAAGCGTTATAGATACCAATTATTTTTTTTTAACATTTCGAATATACATACTTATTTTCTCATCGTCCATTTTCGTTATTGCACAGGCATTGGATAGTGTAGTACTACCTATCATCAACAAGCCTAAACCTAAAGCGGAGCCACCAAAAGAAGAAAAAACGAAAGACAAAGATGCCGATGAACAGAAGATGAATAATCAAAATAGCCAAGCTAATGCTCACAATCACACTAATCAACAGACACAGCAAGAAGAAAATATGGACGTTGAGTAACGTCACTAAAATTTATGTGGTTTTAATATTATTAAATCTACCCATAATTCGAAGAAATAGCAAATGATTCATTTGGGGAAACTGTGTTTATCGCGTCACAAAAGCGCTTGACATGTATTCAGAATTTTTGCACACACGATTGTCATGTCTCTCTCTTTCTTCTTTTCTTTCCTGTAACGCCTGTTTGATGACAGGTATTATGCTTGCACGAACGTAAGTGTATTGAAAGCTAAAGTATCTATTGACAAATTCGATTGGATGCACTAGCGTGTATCAAGATACACCAAGGCCGGTATCAGTCCGCTTTTATATTTAAGCTGTATTTATAGTTTTTTCTTATATTTAAGATCGTCTTAAATTCGCCTTCAGATGCTATACAAATCGTTTCATTAGCCACAGAATATTTGGAAGCGAATTTACGATAATCTTAAATATAAAAACGGACTATGATATCGATCGGTCTTAGTGTATCTGGTGCACATCAGTGCATCCGATCGAATTTGCCATATGAAAGAATGTGCGTTACAAAATCTACTTTTGTTTGAATACAGCTTTTTCTGATACTCATGATAACAAATAATTATCATTTGGCCAAGTATAGCAATGCCTTAAAAGCCCAAATAATGAAGCTTTTTTTCTTACTTTTAAAAGTATTGGTTCTTTTTTTTTTTTTTTTGAGTTTTCAGTACGCTTCTAAGTAACCGGATCGTTCTAGGTGAATACTTGAAAAAAATCTTTAAAGCTATTGCCAGTAGGAAAAATTAATACGTTGCGATGTTTCACGTAGTACTCGAATACTAAGTTAAATCTCTAATGACTAAATTATGAGACTAGATAATATAGCTCTGGCGATTGTATTTAATATTACAGTTATTCATTCCAACATTTTTCATGGCTGACAGCAAATACTGTCTTTTCTTTTTTTTTGCATTTAAAGTAAATAAATAAACATTTCACTAATTAAAATTGCTAATTTTGCTCTGATATTTGGAACGTTTAAGCATCACTAAACATATTAGAAGTTGACTGCAATTTTTCAGTTCCAATTATGACTCGAATAATTTCTCTCTAGCAGAAATCTCATTTTCTACGCAAAAAATTAAAAATTTTATCTAGACATACCATTGTACATAACTTGTAGACATCTACATAATGACAGTATATTTCTTTATCCCAATCATATTTATATTACTATACTACTCGTCACAACACACTTATAGAAAGTCTTATATCGGAAACTTGGTTGTTCCTAGAATACACAAGAATAGGAAGTCCATATTTCACTCTTGTGCCTAACTTTTCTTTTAGCAAGTAAGGCCAGTATTAATAATTGTCACCTGAAACTTGTCTCATATAAGATATTCAGATTTTTGTTCAGAGTTACATCAAAAGTTGTTGACATTTGTATCTATAAGTGTGCGCGCGCGCGCGATTCAACTGAAAAACTTATCTCTAACTTTAGATTCAAATCTGAGTATCTAGAGACGAGTGTCAAGTAATAACTATTAATACAGACCTAAGTACAATCTCATTATCACGTATGTGTATAATGTAACTACGTTAGTAAAATGTAAAAAATTTATTAGATAGGCAAAATGTAAGAAGTGATTAGACGCTTTGTTTCATTGAATGATAAAAGTTTCTAATATACGACGAGTTCTTTTTTTTTTTTGTATTTTTAATTCTTTGCATATATACGGATTATTTTAGTGCTTTTCGCAATTATGTATATCTCAAGAAAAAATTTATAATGTATAAATTGTTTACGTATTTTTACCGTTATTTTTCAGATGTTTTTGCTAAAAATTTAATACGATAGGTGCATCCTTATCGATGTTTGGAAATTAAATATCAATCAATGCCAAATATTTAAATTGATTTCAATCTAATGATTAAAATAAACGGTTATAAGAAAATGAGTTTAACATCAATTTTGTATTATTTAACTAATATTTTACTTTTCCTTTATATAACGGTTCAATATGTCCATTAGCTAACACTTCTCATTAATTTATATTATTACTATACTATATTCTATTGATTAGGTTTAAATTCTTAGAAAAATAAGTTTTTAAACATTCAAATCTTTTGCACACAGATTGAATAATCGTAATAATCTTAACATATAAAGTTTTATTATATTATTTCATAACATACAGCATAATATAAACTTATGATAAATTCTAAAGTGATATAATCATGTGTTAAAATTATGTTGTCTAAAATAGACACAAAACTTGCTTATTTGTTTAATTTAATTAAATAAATAAACAATTTAAATTTATTGCAAAATTTATGAAGCAGTTAAATTTAAATCTCAACAATAACTTTCAAAATAACAAATAACAAAGGATGAAATATGGACATATATTTCTTTAAAGGTCTGTTCGTTTTTGAAGAACTTCTGCATTAGTGTAATGAGTTAAAGTAAAACAAATATATTTTCTTTCACTTTAACTTATTCTACTAATGTGCATCGGTTCAGAAATTTTTTGGAAACTAACAAGCCTTATGTGTGAATCATACCAATCTTATCAACTTATAAGAGAGTTTAAATTGTTGAAATCTTATATTGCCACATTATTTTATCATTTATCGTACATAAGGATAAATGAACCATAATGATGTGTGCTTTATTGGAAAAATATATTCAGTAAGTGCACCGCAGTACTTTATTGTATTTTTATGTAATATTATGAAAATTATAGTAACATATTAACAATCGCATAAACATCGAACGGTATATTTAAAGTACACATTGCAAATGTTATAATTTAAATGAATTTTGGAATGTAAGTTATTTTATAACTTATATAATTATTTTCCACATATAAATCGTGTATAGCATAGACGATGTTATGTTATTTTTGTGAAATTAGCAACCACCTGACTTATTTGCTAAAGCAAAAGTAAGATAAAATATATCAACAAATGCTGTTTATAAAGATGTGTTTATATACAGCATACCTTTTGAAGAGTTTCAGCTAAACAATGTCGAAAATAAATGTATTGACTGTGATTATGTCGTAAATGGTCACCAAGGTGTACTTAATAAAGAATTAATCTCTCTTAACTTGTGTCCTCGACCGATCATCAAAATATGCTCTGTATATAAAGGCTCCTAAGGCAATATGTAATACTAAAACTGCAACAGCAGCGGAGTATACATTACTTGGTACATTGTTGAGTCCCAATAGACCTAAAAATAAATTGCAAGTGTCTAATTAATATGAATCTTCTAATAATTATATAACAAGTTTGTATAATAAACTTATTATAATTTTCTACTATATATTCCGTACCATCAAAAAGGAAAATCTTGCTTGTAAAGAATGATATCACGGGTAATGCTATTATTACCACACTGTAATATAGGACTGTCTTGAATACTTGTAGTTCTGTCAACTCCTAAAATAAAAGTCACAAGGAATTGATATACTTTATTTAGCATGCTGATACATATGAGTAAATATAGATATTGAATCGTTATTGCTATTAATATCATGCTTACCTTTGTGCCTGACATGGTTATAATTACTGTAGCAAAGTCGTGAGATTAAAGAAATTGCGTCAAGGTCAATGTAAAGATTTTTCGAATAAATCCTGTTGATATACAGAGAAATTTAATAATAACTCAGTATTTATGTACAAAACTTATCTTGATTAGGTATTCGTCAAACAACTTTCCTTTATTTGTTGCCTATGATGCGATGCATTTCTCAGTCACGCATTTACGTTTACTAGCAATGTTCATCGAACGTATTCGGGGTATATGCAAGCATATAATTTCCGATAAAATCCCCCTACTCTGACGATTACTTGACGGTTTCACGAGATGTAGAGGTTACAATTTCTGATTGTCAGTAGTCCCGCCGATGGCGCTGCATAAGGCCGGCATCGCAATACCTTCGATTTTCACATCTGACAGTAATTTCACGCACTGGAATAGCGTTCATGTTTTAAGAAATTTCATTTTGTGTGTGTGTGTGTCGCTTCAAGGCGCAGAGCTTGCGACGCACCGATAGCTGATTCATGTGATTGTTTACCAGAGCAAACATGAAATATCGTTTGCAATAACGGTTGTAACTTGTTAATCGAAAAGATTTCGTTGTTCTTTTCAAACATGGGATGTTGCTACAGTTTTTGCAAAGAAGATAGCAGTCCGCAGGTAATCAGCCATGAGGCAAAGTCGCATTTCCTGCATCTCGTACCTTTCTTCTTATCACTGACGTTATACGTCTCTCGTGCAACAGTCCGCATGAATTATCGCGTATAACACGCCTACTTAGCGATACTGATTACATATGACTAATCTCTTCTGTGGGAACATGTAACAATAGTGAAAACGACAATGCTAATAATACAATAACCAGAATGTGTCAATCTTGTCACATTTTTATTCGTTACATTATTTGTTCTTTACTTATTTCTTAATTTATTCAGGGTGGAGAGGCGAATGAAAGGACACATTTATTGGTAGATCCTGTTAGTAACAATACAAATATACCAAGAGTGCACAGGTGAATTATCTAATTTTTTTCACTAAGCATATCTTATATCCAGCATATCTCTGTACATTATAATCATACATACTATTATATATTATACTTATAAATATTATTTTATATCCTGTATATTTATATCATTAATTGGAACAGTTAAATAAGCAAGATGAAATAAAATGTTACAATAATTGTTTACTTTCTCTTAGTGACGATTATGTCAACCAATATGCAAGTTCTGTGCCTAAGAAGACAGATGAACAAAGTGCATTAAATAGAATTTTACACGAAACTGCAGCGTAAGTAGTTTTTTAATATTACAAAACAATGTTGATGTAAAACGCAATTTTTATTTAAGTAATATTTATTTTTACTTCAATGTAGTAATTTTTCTGTAATTTAAAAGTTATAGTTTAACATGTATGATACATTATATGATATATATGTGATACATTAATTAGTTTTCCTGACATTTCTCTTTGTATACAATTAGAAAGCACATGTACTAAATATGATTTTAAAAGGTATTGTCTGTAGTAAGAGTTTTTTAAATCCTGTACTAAACCTGTTAACCTGACAAATTATTACCTAAGATCTTCCCTTATCCAATATTTTTTCTTACAGCAATGTCATAGATGTGGGTGCATTAGACTCACATAATCTAGAACAACATGAATACATGGATAGAGCACGTGCATATTCAAAGAGAATAGAGTCGGGAAGAATTACACTCCCAGAGACTGCATCGTGCTTCCTCAAGGACATACCTGCGCCAGAACGAACATTGGCAGTTGAACCCCTCGCTAGTGAAGATCAAGAGTTGGTAAGGAACAAAACTATTTTCCATGTCTGCAACAGCAGACATTGCAGACAACTCTCACACTGATACAAGTGTGGCTTTGACATGATGAAATGAATTGTGCTTGCAGATTACAGAAATGCTCAATAAAGCTGTGACAGCATTAAGCGATGTAAAAGTTGAACATAAGGAAGACTTGGTAGTGCCGTTTTTATCGTGATCGATAGTTGGCTCTGGAATTCACTTATAATCTCATCCCATTTGACTGGAACTTCAACGTCGCAATGCGTCATTGAAGAGTATACATCTCTCTGAAAAATAAATTGGCCTAAGGCCGAATTGTAATTCTAGCGTTTGCTAAGAGAAAAGATTCATTGTAATAATTAAGATATGTAGTATATTATACAAAATGTTAATATTTGCTTACTGTATACCAATGGCTTCATCCGATCATGGGATCGGTACTTCTCTCTTTTAATTTCGAAGTTTAGAATTAAGATGTGCGTCGCAAACTTCTCGCACAGTTTATTACCAATTAGTGCAGTTTTTATGTAAAAGATTAATTTGTTATCGTAGTCCTTTATCGACATGTATACATGTAAGCGAAAAAAAAAACTATTTTATCATTGTTCAATAAATTCTATCAAATAACAGATAATTACAGTTCTCAGAGAGTCAATCGTTCCTTCAACTTCAAATCGATCAAGTTGAACAATCAGCGATTCTAAGAAACCCTGAATAGTGATTGTGTAATTGTCCCTTAGCGAAAAGCTGAAAAGTGAAATATTTCACGTGAGAAATTTCATACTTTCTTTGTTCGGAAAGTTATATGATCGCTAAAATCGTCAAGTTTATGTGAAATTTTATTTTTCACATTTTCGTTCTTAGGAGAAAGTATCATTGCCTTGGAGACAAAGGAATCTTGTAATTCCATTTTAAAAAGAACACTTTTAAGCGAAACAATGAGCAGAACAAGACAATTTTCGAAAAAAGCACGTTCACGTCACACACCTTTATGTATACAGGCTGTCCCACCTAACTTGCATAACAACCTAAATAGTATTGTAGGTCGTTTGCTTCGCTTGACTGCCTACCATATCGCGATGATAAAAATATATAGTCTCATATAAAAAAAATTACTTTGAAAAAAATTTCTTGTTTTTTACAATATTTGTCTCCTCGAACTAAATAATGTCTCTTTTAGCATCCTCTTATAAAAAATAAACAAGATATTTAAGATGTTCAAGTTAAGTATATTACCCGACATCTCTAGTCTAACATTTTCTTTTTAGTGTACACTATAATACATATATATTTGAAAGAAAATTTATTACAGAGCAACAGTTAGAAAATTTATTACAGAACAGAGTTAGAAGTTTTCAAGGACAAAGAAAGATTTGGAATAAAGGGAACACAGGTAGAAAAGCTGAGAATTTCTGGAAATAAAAAAAAAGGTTGCCATAAATCACACAATATCTCAATGCTGTCAATGATCGAGAAATAATTGTTTGCAGAGAAAAAGAAAGTATTCCTTGACTTTCAACACTTCAGCCTACGCTCTCGAGTAGTACGGACGTAGAAAAGGCGGCAGAAGAACTTGCCGGCCGGTATCCAAACTTGAATCACGCGCCATATTGTAGTGGCGTGGGGTTGAGCCAGGTCACTTGATTGGCCGGGTGCGTCGAGGCGCAGAGGGGCATCGACCGTTCTGGCGTCAGGCAGCGATCGGACTGGCAGAACTTGCCGTTCAGTGCCACCAATACACAAGTGCCGGGAGACTCTCTATCGCCGACCATTGGTCCTCAATTTGCCGACCAATCATTGGGAAAGTGCCTACGAAAATATCCAATGTAAGTTCACAAATTATCAAACATCAGCCCGGCTCGCGGCATGACCGCGCGCCCGCGTCCGTTATTAATTCCGATTTCGCGGTCGCGTAGCCGCTACTTTCGCCGCCCGCGCGAGCTCCTGCCTCTCTCGACGCTGAAAAAGCCGTCGTAGCACGGCCATGTTTGCTGAGAGGTGATATCGCGTTCCCGCACAGCTAGCCGCGGTGGCCGATGGCGAGACGACGCGTGATGTTCTGTCCGTACGTGGTCGATCGTGCGCGTCCTCGTGCATCCGCGAAATCGCCAAGCGATTCGCCCGGAAGTGCGGCCGGAGGAAGCCGCGTCGTGGAACGGTACTCTCGCTGGCCTTCGGCAGCGTGTCTGTTTCGGCGCGAGACGGTACTCGTCCGCTCGCTCGCCAACCAGCCAGCCAGCCAGCTCGGTTATCCTCTCCTGTTCGTCGGTTAATTTGTTGTTCGTTGACTCGCGGGACTGCATCGATACGCGCGCGTATTCCGCGTGGGGTCACACGTGGATCGCGCGAAACGGTCGATTGTTATCGCCACGTTGGCGCGCGAGCCCCACGAACGCCTTGCACTGAACGCCGTGTCTCGCTGCTGATCCTCCGGCAGCGTCTCGATCATCCCGCATGCTTTGCTTAACGTTAACTCCATGTGCCACGAGCGCAGAGAGATAATGAGTTGGGCAACGATACGATTTTGTCGGTGCGTGAGTCATATCGAACGTCCTTACATTTCATTGCTGAGATAAAAGTACCTATGTTGAAAGTTTGAATTGTTCATATGTTGAAGATCAAAATAACAATGCCCAGGCATTGGTGCTTTTATTTTGCATACTCTTTCTCGAATTCCTCTCCTTTAGCATTGCTCTTTACTGAGAGGGATGGATTTTTCTTGTTGCAGTGAGACATCATGGAGCAGCTTAGCGAAGGTCAAGCAGTTGTGGTGGGTGGTACTGGAGGAACAGTACAAGTTGTGCAGATGGGGCAAGGCGGTCAAGCTATGATGCTTCCACAAGCTATACAGGTTGCAGCTCCCAATGGGCAGATTCAAGTTGTGCCTGTTTCTAGTTTAACGAACACTGGCCAGCAGATAGTTATCCAGCAGCCGCAAACGCCACAAATTATCCAGACACCTGATGGACAAACTTATATTTATCAGCCAGTACAACTTGAAGGACAAGTCCAACAGACACAACCGACAGGTTTGTTTATATTAAATACACCACTTTTTCTGGCCCAATGTAATTTTATTGGCAAATACATTTTGAATTTACAGTGATTAATATCAATGGCAATCTCATGCAAATCGCTGGGACTACAACGCAGGCCACTACTACCCCAGCTACTACATCTCCGGTACAGCCTTTGGCAAGTCCTACAGCAACAGTATCACAGGCAGGAAATGTTGTTATGGTAATTGCGAAAGTTATATGTACAATCATTGGATACATATTATAACAAGTTATAGTGACCTTCAAGCAGTATTTTGAATCAGAACTGCCCTTCGTCATGGATCCATTTCGATATTAATGGTTTTGAGATAATGGTTGTGAGATCTATACGTACAAAGATGTACATATAACCGCTTTTTAATTAAGAGGGCAGAGTTAATGATCAGTTAATTAAGTATTCTTTTACAAAATAGATGGTACCAGGGAACAGTGGGCAAACACAGTTCCAAAGAGTGGCATTGCCCAACGCTGAATTTCTTGAGGAGGAACCACTATATGTAAACGCTAAACAATATAGGCGCATTTTGAAACGTCGACAGGCACGTGCGAAATTAGAAGCCGAGGGAAAGATACCGAAAGAGAGACCGGTATGTATTCTCGCATTTCCCTAAATTTTATCTTTTCAAATGTTTAACAGAAAAATTCTTTTATATAATTGAAAAAAACATTATAAGGGCGAAAAATTTCCCAAAACTTGCATACATTGATATTAGAAATATAAAATTCATATATATATATATATATATATATATATATATATATATATATATATATATATA